CCTCGCCCGACGCGCCTCGGGAGTCCGGGGCGGGGACGCGGCGGGGCGGCGCCTGGGGCCGTGGGGCCCCGGGACGAGGCGTGTCTCGGCGCGGGGGGCCTCGGTCGTCCGCGCCGTCTGCTCCGGCGGGCCCGAGCCCGGGGCTCGGTCTGGCCCCTGGGCTGCCCACGGCTGCCTCCCCGGGCCCGGGACACCGGCTCGCTCTCCGGTCGCCGTCCCTGGACGGGCCCAGTAGGGTCCCCGCCGCGACGCACCGCGGGTTCGCCGAGGGCTTTCTCCGGCCGGGGGTCACAGAGCCAGCAGCTTCTGGGTCTGGACAGAATAGTGCCCGGGTTCGGTCCGGAGCGCGCGGAGATCGGGATTCCCACGGTGGGAAGCTGCGGAGGTCACCTCTCCCGCCGAGACCCCGGCTCCCTCGGGAGCGCACCCAGCCCGCCCGCCGAGGCGGGGCCCACCTGCCCGGGAGGTCCAGCCTGCCCGACGGCGGCTCTGCGCGGGCGCAGCACCGCACTCTCCCCTGGGCTGGGGCGGAGCGGAGACCCAGGGAGCCGGACTCGACCCGCGGACACCGCGCCGAGGTCCCAGCCTCCCTGGGGTTCCCCCCAAGAGCCATCAGTCCCAGCGCTCCTGCGAGTGAAATCGCCAAGGTTGGCCATCACGCCCAAGAACGCAGACGCCTGGATTTCTTTGCTAGGAAATTCTCCCCAAGTTTTGTCGATGCTAACTACAAAACCGAGGCTGAGGTCACTCGTTCTGATTCACATAAAGTGAGCATCTCGGATCGAACCCTGCTCTGTCAATTATTGTGGTAACGCGTCAACCTGTTTTGCTACTTTATATTAAGTATACTGAGAAATGTTGAAATCGCTCGCTAATCGATGGATTGCGAGTTATTTTCCTCACAGGCAAACTGGCAACAGGTGAAAGAAGGAGAGAAGGAATAACCGGGGAGACTGAAGCCCCATCACTCACTAGGCATTGCCCTACCTTAAATTACTTGACAAAAAGAGAACTTGTCGGTCACAAATCCTGGAAAATAGTCCCGACTCTTGTGAAGTTTATCTAGTTTGGGCATTTCCAACCTGCCCAGGAGACTGGGGAAACACGGCCAGCTTCCCAGGAGCCCTGGACAATCATGCCTGTGGATGAAACTCTTTTGGGGACATTGTTATCCAGGTGACAACTGCGATTTCCAGTCACTTCACTATTCAGGGAGCACAGGAATCTGGTATGTCCTAAACAAACACAATAGCACAAGGGAATTGCTTCCACCACAGGAGACAAGGAAGAGCTTTCTTAGAAAATCAGGTTAACCCCCAGGGGCAGTGGCTCACTGGGCAGCTTGGGGAGACCTCGTCTCTACAATTAATCAAAAGAGTAGCCGGGCATGGTGGCGTGTGCCTGTTGCTCCAGCTACTTGGGAGGCTGAGTGGAAGGATCACCTGATCCCAACAGGTTGAGGCTGCGGTGGCCGCTACCGGGTCTGGGTGACAGAGTGAGACTCCTACTCAAAGACAAAAAAAGAAAAGAAAATTAGGTTAAAAGAGTGTCTGTAGGCCCTAGTTAGGTGGCATAAACTCTCACGGCTCTAATCAAGTGAAAGAAGAAAACATCAGAAGTTCACGGACATTGGCAGGCGTTTCAAATACTGATTTTAATTAGGAACATAATAAGTGAGGGATGACTTTGAAAAACAATGGGGGAGATGCAGTATGAAATAATACTAGAGAAGAAGTGATATAGAAACAGCAGGGTGAAATAAAGTCCACATCAACTATCTACCCTGGGAAAACCAAGCAGAACCTGACAGCGGCTTTCTATACACAGACAGTGAATTTTCCAGAGCCTGACAACTGGTGCCGCCATTGACCAAGTGACCCTGAACAGACTCAGCCTCAGTTTTCCCTCTGGCAGAGAAGAGAGGCTGGTCTCGAGTGGTTCTCAGACTGTGTAGCACGTGAGAGAGAGAGTTGAGGCGCGTGACAAAGGCAGATTCCGACACCTCTGGGGACCCTGTCCCCCTGCAGGTTTCTGTCCATCTGCGTCTTAAGGGGCTCTGGGTAGTTCTGAAGCAAGTGGTCCTTGAAACTCATGCTAGTCAGCCAATGAAAATTATTTAAATGCAAACGATGGGCCCGGCAGTGAAACACCAAAGAGCAACAAGAGTGGGTAAAATAGACAGAATCCTTGTCTTTGTGAAGCATCAAGCTTCAGGAATCTAGTTCCCCAACACAATAATTGTATCATCTCAGTGGCTCAGCCTGTCATCCCAGTGCTTTGGGAGGCCGAGGCGAGTGGATGGCCTGAGCCCGTGGGTTCGAGACCCACCCGGGCAACTTGACGAGACCTCGTCTCTACAATAAATCAAAAAATCAGCCGGGCGTGGTAGCGCGCGCCTGTAGTTCCAGCCACTTGGAAGGCTGAGGCGGAAGGATCGCCGGAGCCCGGCGGGTCGAGGCTGCGGTGGCCGGGAGCACGCCGCTGCTTTCCAGTCTGGGCGACAGAGTGAGACTCCAACTCAAAATAATAATAATAATAATTGTATCATCAATAAACATGCTGCCTCTAAGTTCTGCTGCATTTGTTCCTCATCGTGTTCATTGTACGCCCTTGACTTCTTTCTACTGCTCCAACTACACAATTCTTGCCTCCCCTCTTGCTAGTTAATTCAGAGGCCACTTGAAGTGTCCATGTTGAAACTATTTCAGAAACACTCACTAACTTACTGTTAAATGTATAAAAGAGGGATTATCTGTGTCAAAATAGGTATTCATATACTAACTAACATTTTAAATATTCTTTTTTTAAAGTTGTATGTCTCAAAAGCTACTTTTTAAGCCTTGAAATTTAAGACACTTATTTTCTTTATACATTAGCTAATAAATTGCACAGGTAAAGTCTCCCTAAATATTTAACATCAACAAAGCTTATTAAACATTTCAAATTACAAATTTAATATAGTTGATTTCAAACATTTTTTAAAGCAGACAAAATTTGTAAAAAAATTTTTAATTTTGGAGATGTGGAGTACAATTCAAGGTTAAGTAAACAAATATTCATTATGCAGCTACCTTGTTGATGAGATGTGCCCCCCTTCCCTGGCAGTTTCCCACTACTGCCAATCCCACCCTCCCCTCCTCTGGCAGTTTCCAACTACAGCCAACCCCTTTCTTATACTATTATGATAACTGTTCAAGGTCCGCTTATGAGTGAGAACATATGGTATTCGGTTCTTTGTTTCTGTGATGGATCACTCAGTATTAGAGACTCTAAGTCCATCCAAGTTGCTGCAAAGTTCATAATTTTGTACTTTTTTTTCTTTTTTTTTGAGTTGGAGTCTCACTCCATCACCCAGGCTGGAGTGCAGTGGCAAGCTCACAGTCAGCCCAGCATCAACATGCTGGGTTCTGGCGATTCTTCCACCTCAGCCTTCCAAGTAGCCTGAACTACAGACACACATGACCACACCTGGCTAATTTTTTATTTATTGTAGAGATGAGGTCTCGCCGAGTTGTCTGGGCTGGTCTCAAACCCAAGGGCTCAGGCAATCCACTTGCCTCGGTCTCCCAAAGTGCTAGGATTACAGGTTGAGCCACCAAGTCCAGCCAATTTGTCCTTCTTTATGACTGTATAATATTCCATCATGTATATGCACCACTTTCTTTTTTTTGGAGCAGGATTTATGGCGAGGACAGAAAAGCTCCTACAGTGGAAATGGAGTGTGGCCCAAGGGGGTTGCCCCACCTTTTTTTTTTTTTTTAATCTAGTCCTCTTTCGATGGACAGCATGGTTGGTTCCATGTTTTTGCTATTGTAAATAATGCTGCAATAAACATGCGTGTACAGGTATCTTTTTCATAGAGTGATCTGAGTTCCTTCGGGTATATTGCCAGTAGGGGGATTGTGGGGTCATATGGAAGGTTGATTTTTAGATCTTTTAGGAATCACCAAACTGTTTTCCACAGAGGCTGTACTAGTTTACATTCCCACCAACAGTGTAGAAGTGCCCCCTCCCCTCCACACCCCGCTATCCTCTCCAGCATCTGTTGTCTTTTGAGTTATTGATGATGGCCATCCTGACTGGAGTTAAGTGGTATCTCAGTGTAGTTTTAATTTGCATTTTTTTGATGACTAGGGAGGCTGAGCATTTTTTCATGTATCTATTGGCTGCTCATATGTCTTTTTTTGAGAAGTGTCTATTCATATCTTTTGTCCACTTTGTAATGGGGCTGTTTGTTTTTTTCTTTTTGGCATGTTTGAGTTCCTTGTAGATCTTAGATGTTAGGCCTTTGTCAGACATACAATTGGCAAATATTTTTTCCCAGTCTGTGAGTTGTCTCCCCGCTCTCTTGACGGTTTCTTTGGCTGCAGAAGCTTGTCAGTTTGATGAGGTCCCACTTGTCTATCTTATCTCTTATGGCATGGGCACTTAGGTTTTTTTGCCAGTTCCAATTTCCATAAGGGTATCTCCCGCATTTTCTAAGGTTCTTATAGTTTGAGGTTTTACATTTAGATCTTTGATTCATTTGGAGTTGATTTGTGTGTATGGCGATAGGTAGGGGTCTTGTTTTAATCTGCATGTGGTCAGCCAGTTTTCCCAGCACCATTTACTGAATAGGTTCTCCTCTCTCCAGTGGTAGGTGGTGGAGGCTTTGTC